TGTATGTGTATAAGAATAATTAAATATGTTCATGTTTAGATATAAATTTATATAAACATATTTTCATTATTATGTAATTTATATTTATGTATGTAAAAAAAAAAAATTTAATATATAATTTAAGTTTAATTGACGTTGCTATACAAATGTATTTTTATGCGTGTTGTTATATAATTATGACAATCAATTATTTTTCTTTTTTTCTTTAAATTTTTTTTTTTGTATTTTATTTATGTACGGAACTACAGAAATGAGAATCAATCTTAGAAAAAATTTAATGAAAGTAGAAAAAGTCGGGAAGAAAATTTAAGAAAATTTTTTCAAGTTCGATTTTTAATAATTGATATAATTAGAATTCAAATCTAAAAACTATATTATATAAATATTTTTTAAAAAGTAATTTTATTTAAAGTTAAAAGTAAGAGAACGGAGCATAGATTTTAGGATTTCAATAATATACATATCCTCTTTACATAATCGAGTAAGTTTTTACTTATTTCTGAAATAGCTACCGATATCTCATTTCTGAAATCTATACGTTAAATTTAATAATATGTTTCCGATTTTTTTTTCTATAATTTTTTAAGTATTAAAATTTATAAATAACAAATGCTTAAATTTCATAAGAAAGTATATAAAGTGCTCCAAATTTTTAATTTCTACACATTTATATTGTTATACAAATATATTATTAATTAATTTTTGTTGTTGTTTTTCTTTTATGAAAATTTTTTGAGATTTCTTAGTTTTAGTATTAAGAATTTTTTTTTTTTTTGAATTTGAAATTGATATTAAAGTTATGCAATTTTCTAATATTATGTATTATGTATTAATAATTTTTTTCCATTAATTTTAATAAAGCTTTTGGTGCTTTATAATAGCAGAATTAGACAATTTTTGTTTATTTTTAACTAACTACTATAAATATATGTATATATATATATTTACTTGTTAAAATGTAATATTAATAATATTGTAGAGATTTAAAACTATAAACTGGAATATAAATAAATAAATTAAATATTTAAATAATTTTTTATTTTATGCGGCAGTCCAAATTTTGGGCTAGGCATTTTTGAAATTACTGAATTTTTTATTGTGTTAAATCGGTTTTTGTTTTTTTCATATTTGTTTTTAAAGCTACGTACTAAAAAAAAATTACAATTTACAATATATTTCTTGATGGAGATTAAAGAAGATTGATCTTAAAATTTCACATTATTGGTTACCTATAGTTTATTCCACCAAGACTTTATTATTATTAAGTTTTTTTTCGTTTTTGTAAAATCAATATACATATAAATTTTTTTAAATATTGTTTTTAAAAATTATCATTAATTATGTCAATAAATTTTAATTTTATATAAAATTTTTTCTTTTAAATGATAAAGACCAAAAGTTTATTGAAAATATTAATAAATATATATCGAAAACGTTGTCGGTGGACATTAATACCTGTAAAAATTATTTTTCAATAATTGTAATATTTAATAATTATACTGCCATTTACATGTTAATTTACTTTTTCATATCATGAATTATGAATTTATAGCAAGATTCATTAAGTTCTGAAATTCTAGATTGATCTGAAGAATTTTTTTTTTACTTTGAAAATTATTTTAAATTTCACACTGTTAATTAAATTTTTTTTGAGGGTTTAATAAAACATAATATCTTGAATTTGTTTTGAAATTGGTGCTCAGTTTAAGCGACTCATTCCGAATTAGAAGTGTGAAATTTTACTTTTATTAATTGTTTTTCAAATTTAGGCCTTTTCGTATAGGTCATTGTTTTAGGATATTATCATTTAATTTTTTATAGTATACGTTTTCTTTACTGTAAATGTTAAAATAAAATTTTTAACTATTTTCACATCTAGCACATATTTTAAAACATATCGAATAGAGAATTTTAAATATTAAAAAATTTACAAATTCTTTTTGATGTTTGAAAAGTTTTTTTTTTTTAAATTCTATTGAATATAGGAAAATATATTCATTATGATATATATATGTACTTAAACATGCATTAGATTTATATATACATGTGTTCACATATATGTTTTAATATAATTAATATAAAAAAAAAACACATACATAACTATTTTAATTTATATACGTAACGTTTGCTAGAAATTTCATATATTATATAATTATAATTTCTAATAGGAAAGTTAAAAGGAGCAAAATGTGAAATTTTTGTTTTAACTAGAAAATATTAAAAAGGTCATTTAATATGCTAATGCTTGTTATGTTTGTATATATATTTAAATTTCATATACATTTAGTAAATACATATATAATACAAATAAACGGATACATGTATTGTATATTCTTTTAACTATATCAATATTTCTTTCCAAACTCTTGTTATCTATTTTTCCTCTTTTTTTATAATTAATTTTTTAATATTTAATTCACAACATATAAGGTACTTTTAATATTTTTTCATTTCATTTTTTTTTATTTTTTTTGTTTTTTCTTTTTATTTTCCTACGTTTTTTAATTAATATGTTATAAGTGTTTGTTTGTATTTTTTTTCGGCTTTTTTAGTTATTTTTTTTATTTTTAATATCAAAAAAGACTTCTTTTCATTGTTTTGTATTTTAACATTAACTTTATATTATATAATTGCTTTTTTATCATATTATTTATATTTAAAAATTTATTAATCAATATATAATAAATATTATATAATAATTAAATAATATTTTTTTTTATAATATATAACATTCTTAGATATTCAATTTATAAGTTTTTAATTTGATTTTAAATTTTTTCTTTATTTTTATTATAATTATATTAAGTAGTATATTGATTCTGCTCCTTAATATATTATTCTTATATTAAATGAAATTTTTCTTATTTCTTATCTAAATATATATAATGCTATTTAAATTTTATTTTTAATTATTAAATATAAAGTAAAATTTTAATTTTTTTCTTTCCTTTATCTAATATCATGATGATAGTATATTATATAACTAATTTTTATGTGTATGCAAATATGAAATTTGCGATTATATAATACAATTACATAAATATATTGCACATATAAATATAATAATATATAATTTAAATAATTTTTAAATATTTAAAAATTAATATTGTGCATTAATGTACATATATAAATATATAATAATTATATTATTTCTTTTTTTTATAAATAATGTCATAAAATGTTCATTTATATACTTATATAAGTACTTATATAAATATATGCATCAATTTTATGAATACATGCAAAAATTTATATAAATTGTATATTTATGAAAATGTATGTTTTTAGTTCTTACTTATCCGACACGAATGAGTATTCGCGGAGGCAGCGAATAATTTAATTTTATAATAATAATATTATTATCATACTTAATGGTATCATTTTGTACTTGTATAAATACAAATACTGTATTTTTATAATATCGATGGAATAACATAAATTAATAATTTCTTGTGAAACAAAAAGAAATCAAAATAAATTTGCAAAATTAAAGTAAATTTTTTACGAAAATTTTTTATAGCATAAAAATACTTGAAAATATTTTTATATAAATTATGCAAACGCTTTTTTTCAAGCCTAAAACATTTGTTATAATAATGATAATTATAAATCGAAAAAACTTTTTTTATAAAAATATAATTAAATTTGTTGAGAATTTTTTAATAAAAATTGTTGAAATTAAACATTATGCAGAAAAAATAAAAAAAAAATACATATAAAGTGATTACGCATGTACAAATTAAAATTAAAAGCGATAAAACGCTTTCGTGTTGCAAACTGTGTTATCTAATACCAATTAGCATTACAAAATAAAATAAGTTCTTAATATTATTATTTATACTAAACAAATATTTTGAAAATAATGAAACCATAATATTGCTATGCAATTAATTTTTCACTACTAAAATTTTACTTTTAGTCTTAAAAATACAATTGGATTCAAGAAATATAAAACTTAATTAAATATTTATCGATTTCATATTGTATTTAATTTCTAATGTTTGCAAATAAATTTTAACATTTTTTTCTGTAAAGATTTTATTTTTATTCTTTTGAAATTATGGACAGATTCTTATTTGAATTGAATGCATTTTTATGATACAGAATAATAAATGTAACAATAATATCATTTTAATTAAGATTTTATATAAAAATTCGAAAAAAATAATAAATTGAAAATAATTTATTTAAAATAATAAAAGTAGCTGATTAAATTTTAAAGGTTGTATAAAACTTTTGTAGTTTTTCACATTTTTACAAAAACGCAATTCATAAATTAAAAATAAATTTAACGGTGTGAATGAAAGATCAGAAATAGAGTGAAGGCAAAAATGAACTGAAAAATGAAAGCAAAAAAAATTTATTAAAAAAGAATTTTTTTTTTATTCAATTAAGTTAACAATCAAAATTTATCCTTTTTTTTTTTCCTATTAAAAATGAACTTATATACTAAATTAAGGGTGCTTAAATTTTAATTAAAAATTTAACGCAAATATTTATGTATATTTATTAGAAAATTAACTAATATTTATAATATTACATATAATATTAAATATATTTATTAAAAGTTATTGTAATAATAAACTTTTTTCAAAAAATTTACAAAATATTATTATTTTTAAAGTTTGAGATTCAATATAAATTATAAATAATTTTTATAATGTGAATTTATTTTTAATTTTTACTTTTTTATTTAATATTAAATTTAGTATTGGAAGAGAATAAAAACAGCAAAAGTTAAAAAAATCATAATTTGAAGATTATTTTTAATATGCAGTTATGATATTATGCAATTTAGAGAACCTAATTGAAAAATATAATCTAATATTAGATCAAATTGAGAGAGTTTTGAAAATCTTTCAATTGTTTTAAATTAATTTGAATAAATTTTTAATTAAAATTACGGTAATTGAAAGCTTTAAGGATCTAAATCTTTATAACTCATACAATTTAGTATATTGATCTGAAATAAAATGATTATTTATGATTTTAATTGTTGTTAATTGTTTCATAAAAATTCTAATAAAAATTTTTATAGTAAAATAAGATTAGGTGAAGATAATTTCCTAATCGTTTCAAAACAATATAAAATTTCTTAGTCCGAAAACTGTCTTTACATAAAAGACTATCATAACTATACATATTAAAAAAAAAATTATGCAATAATAAAAATAATTAAAAATTAAATGATGAAAAAAAAAAAACTTAACAAAATGCAATTTTATTGCTAACTACTGCGGATTTTATGTGACAAATCGTAATAAAATGCATTTACATAAAATAGAAATAATAGTTTATAAAAATTTTATTAATTATCTTTTATATATAGCATATTATATTTTTTTTTATTAAAAATGTGTGTTATTTTTTTGCATTATTATTGTATGTATTGTATAATTAATGTATGTGTTAACTTTATACTTTATTTATTATATAATGTAATTTATTGTAATATAGAAGTAATTAGTTTGTTTTTTTTTTAATTATAATATTTATGCTGTGCTTCATTAATTTATTTAATTATGGAACTCAAACGCATAAAAATTTAAACAAAAAGATTAATTTGATATATAATACATAGTTATTTCTTTTTATTTTCGTTATAACCGATTAAGTACGTGCATTATTTTAGTGAAGACAGCATGTCCTTTAGTATCACTCATTCCAATTATAAAACAGAAATTGAAATTCAATAAAATTCGAATAATTTCATTTGATTGCATTTACAAGAAATGACATTTTAATTCAAAATAATTTTAATTAATTTCCAGTTTTTAATTTTTAGGAATTTTTCATTAAATTTCATATATTGAAAATATCTATATAGTTTTTCAATAGAGATTTAATAAAAAATTAAAAAAAAATTGCGGATTTGCTTTTAAAATTAACTTTAAATTCTATTACAAAAGATAATTTAAATTTAATTTAGGACTTTGCTTTCAAAAAAGTAAGAGTAATTTAATGAAATATTTTCTTTATTACAATTACTATAACATTCAATGGATATAATATATCAAACCAATAATTTTAGTTTTTAAAAATATTAAACATAAATATTTTGTTTTTCGGACTTATTACAAATAAATAGCGATAATACAAAAAAAATTTTTATTCAATAATAAATATTTATTGTGAAATAAAAATATTTATAAGAACAATTTACTGTCTTTACTATTACAATTTAATTTTATAATTAAAAAATAAAAAAGAATTATTTAAAAAAAAATAAAAATTTAATTTAATTTTTAGCATTAATAATTCAAAAAGTAAATAAGTATTGTGTTTTGTATAAACATTTTACACATTCTAAATTATTATTGAAAAACAATAAGTTTTCATAAAATAAAACAAAATTACATAAAGAAATTAAAAAAAAAAATTAATTAGCATTAAAAATTAAATCATGTATTTATTTCAAATAAAAAATTTTTGTAGAAATTTAATAGTTCTTATGGTTTTAAATTTAATTATTATTAAATTAATTATTCACTGCGCCTGCGGATCGCATTGTAATAATCGTACAATTGATGGATCACTCTTAGCACCTTCAATAAATTCTTCCAAACTTAATTTACCATCTTTGTTGCGATCCATTTGTCGAAATATTTTATCAGTTCGTTTTTCTGGCGTACTTTCATCTTCTGGCATTTTCATAACGGATCCAACCATTTTATAAATTGCCTAAAAATAAAATTTTCAATTTCATGTAAGGTTATTTATTTTAGTATCAATTTCAAATTGAAATTCGAAAATACTTACAGTTACAATTTCTAACATTTCTTGCCTTGATATATAACCATTCCCATCTAAATCATACATTGAAAAAGCCCATTTCAACTTTTGTTCTAATTTACCACGTGAAGTTACACTAAGAGCACACAAAAATTCCCGAAAATCTATAGTACCATCACCATTAGCATCAAATGTTCGGAATACATGTTCAGCAAACTACATTTAAAAGAGAATAATTAATGTAATTTCAATATTTGTGAATACTTTTAGGTAAGTAAGAAATAAAACTAATTTAAAACCGTTTTAATTGTATTGGAAACTGCATTGGAACTCCAAACTCCTACTATGTTCACAGATTTCCGAAGAAATACAATATTAATTACCTTGCTAGCATCACCATAAGGGAAGAAATTTCCATAAATTTTCTTAAATTCTTCTACCGATAAATGACCACTTGGACAATCTTTTAAAAATCCTTTATACCATTCTTGAATTTCAGCATCTACAAAATTGAATTTATAAAAAATACTTATATGTAATATTAAATTTAAAAATTTCGATTATCAATATTGATTACTAAAAATTTATTATTTTTACCTGTAAATTCTGTATTTTGTTTTAAATCTTCTAAAACCTCTGGTTTCAGCTTACTATTTTGTTTGCCCATTTTAAAAAAAATATCTTTATATATTTTATTATAGTACAAACAATTTTATTAAATTTTGATGACTTTAAAATATTTTGTATTTATAAAAGATGGCTTCCTTTTCAGTAATAAATTTCTTCTTCAAAAAACAATATTTATGTAATTTCAATCTTAATTCATGTGTTAATTACTTTAATGTTTACTTATGTAATTAATTTAATTCCAATTATATTTAGTTTTTATGCTGGAAACTGAGGATATTGTTCTTGAACGATATTATTTTATGTTAGTAAACATATGCGATATTTCAATTAAATATCCGGAGAAATATTAAATAAAAATGGAAAAAAAAATAAAAAATTATAATCAAGTAAATATTATGGAAGAAAGTTTTCTCTTCTAAAATTCTTATTGAAATTAAAAAATTTTGTGCTTAACAATATCTGATTTAATCTTAAAAATTCTTCGACATTAAAATAATTTTTTTTGAATAATAATTTAAATATTTATATTTATAATTTGACGTGACTTTATTCTTAAAATATTGTTGCTTATTAAAATGTTTTTCTTTTAATTTTTATAATTTCGAATATTTTTCTTTTTCATTAATAAAAACTAAATTTTATCTACTTTTTAATTAAGACGATATCTTTACTAATTTGGACGATAAATCGAACGTAATTATTTATAAGTTATGTTGTTCTTTTATTGCATTTTTTTTTTTTTTACTTGACAAAAGTACGTTGCTGCGTACAAGAAGGTTGTTGATTTCTTTTTAGTTGTTGATAACAAAGATAGAAGAAATTACTTGTACCTGTTTATATTTACTGTTATTTTGTTGAGAATTTTCATGAACTTCTTGACGTTTGCTGAAAAATATTAATAAAATTTTAATTATTCGTAATACAAATGTGTTTTATTCAATAAAAAATAAAATTCTAAAAATTTTTAAAAATTTTACAAGTAAAAGCGTGTGAAACATTATTGTGTGTATCAATTGTTACCAAAAAGTTCACTGTATTTAGTGCATTTTTGGTGGATACTAATCTGAATACCGGCTTGATCTAACTAATTTAGATATTCAATTTGAAAAGATTGCAATAGTATCTAATTGTTGTTACGGTAAAAGAATTTTACTATCTATGTAAATTGTGAAGTTAGTAATTCTTGTACCTCTAAGAAGGTGATAATTTTTATGTCCGGAAAAAATGCAATCTTAATTCAATTTGCGTTAACAATTAATATTAAAATTTTGTAATGTCTTTAATTTTCCATTTTGAAATTGAAAAAATTTTTAATAGTCGCTCAAATTTTGACTTGCAATTTTCGAGTTGGATTTTGTAAATTTAATTTCCCTATGAATTTCATATGTACATATGTTCTAAAAATTTTTTATTTTAATACGAAAATTCTGAATATTATTTTTCTATTAGATTAATGGATTAAATTAAATTTTTATGAGCTATTCTTTTTAAAGGCTTTAATCAATTGTATATTGGAAAAGACTCATAAGAATAATTATTGAATTATTTAATTTTGATTTTAGATGATGGCGTCCTGCAATTACTACATTTGAATTACTGTGAATATTATGTATGTGAAATATTCCTGTAAACATGTTAGAACTAAGAATAAAATCTAAAAACAATGAGAAAATTAAAATATTTAGGGGATTTTAGAAGAATTTTTCTAAAATATTAAAATTAAAAATTTTTAGGTTATGTTATATCTTTTTTATATATTTCTTCACTTTTTTTTGTTGTTTTTGGTTTTCATGTCAATATACATAAGAATAGCTTGATTTGTATTTTTTTTTTTTTGAATTTTCAAAAAAAAAATTTTATTTTTTATCATTTTTTAAATGTTTTCTTGGCTTTGAAATATTAAATTTTTAAATTTATAATTTATTATTTTAAATAATTTTTATTCTTTAATTGTTTTTTTTTGTTTTTTTTTTTTCAAAAGTATTGATTTTGTTCATAATTTTGTCTTGTATTTTTTTTTTTGGTTTTTATTATTCTTAATTTTTCCTTAATTCCAAATATTACTGTTTTCTTTTTTATTTTTTTTTTGTTTTGTAAAATTAAATATGTTTTATATGAATTTTAAATATAAATGTATGTATTTTGTGCCCTATGATCACAAAATGTGCGATTTAAGGGTTGTTTTTTTATTTTTTTTGAAATAACCACAATATTATAATTTTGTGCATTTCATTTAAAGGATTCGAATCGGTTATTTCATATAGCAATAGCATTTTTTTTTTAAATATGTTTAATGCCATATTATTTTTGAATTTTATTTTAAATATTTTTATGTTATGTAGTTTAAAATTTGCCCTAATGGGATTCGAATCCAATTATAAATGTTTTAATCTCATTATGTATTAAAATTGAGAATTTTTCAAAATTGTACCACCAAGGCACTCTTAATTTAATGATATAAAAATGATATAAAATAAGAAAATCAGATTCTAACAAAATTGAGAATTTTTTTTTTGTATATTAGAATTATTAGTTTTTTTTAAGTTTAAATTTCTCTAAAACAAATAAATAAATAACATTTTTTGTATAGCTTACATTTTTTTTGAAAAAATTAATTAAATTTTAAAATATTAAGAAAATATTACAATATTTTTCTTTTTTTATATTTTATAGAAAAACTAGTCCAATTATAAAAAGAATTTTTAAATTTTTGAAATTTTGCATACTTTTGAGCGTTTTTCTATCTTCCTTTTGGTTAAAAACAAATAAATTTTTTTTTGCTTTTTAATTTTTTTTTTCAAAATTTCGGTGAATTTTATACTATCGATGATTTTTGAAATGCTTTCCATATTAAATAATGATCAATTTAATATTTTTTATAATTTAAATTTGCTTTTTTTTTTTGTTATTTTATATTTTAGATAAATTTACAATTATCTACTAAAATTATGTGCAGTTGAATAGCAAAGGAGTTTGTTGTTTAGATGAAAATTTTTTATGTTTTTTAATTTTTTTTTCTTATCCTTATTTTTTAATTTTACTCTTTTGTCGTGATTTTTCTTTTGTTTTTTTGTTTCTTATTTGCTAATTATTTTAATATGAAATTTGTGTTTTTTTTTGTTCGGTTTTGTAATTTTTAGTTTTTTTAAAATTAAAGTTAGTATATTATTTTTAAATAACAGCGATATCAAATATTTTGTAGATTGTTTTTTTTTTTTTTTTAAATTTTTTTTCTTTTTTGACCATTTAGGTTCTATTAAATTTTGAATGTGTTCAGTTTGGAAGGTTTACTTTATTTTTTTTTTAAATAATAAATTTTTAAATTGTTTTAGATTCTAAAAGTGCTAGAAACTAAAATATTAGTTTAATTACGTAGTATTTACAAATATTTTATAGCGCCAATGAATATTTTATAATTAGAAAGGAAAGATGTAGCTAGGCCTAAATTTATAGAAAATTTTTGAAATTTTTAATTTATATTTTGAAATTTCTTTAAACATGGATTTGTTCTTCTAATAAAAGAAAAATTATATTTAATTTGAATGTTGAATGAATGTTGAATGAAATCAAATACGGTTTGATTTAAAGTAAACAAGGGGGCATTAAATTATATGAACAGCGAGATAATGTAAAATTTGATAGAAAGGAACTATTATCAATTATCAATTATATCAATTAAAAATTAAATTAAAAAATAATTTTTAAATTTTTAAAAATGAAAATTTTAAAGATTAAAATTAAATGAAGTAGTTTAATGGTTTAATACAGATTAAAACTAAATTTTAATTAAGTCTTAAAATAAGAACTAAGTGTTCTTACTTTACAAAAAATTTTTAGATATAATTTTCTTTTAATAAGAATATGTTACAGTTTATTATGTTCTTTATAGTACAAAGTTTTCTAAGAGACTAAATTAACATTATCAAAAGAGTAAAGCAATTGTGAAGCAAATCCATATAAAATAATAACTGTATATTATTACAAATACTTAAAAATATTGTATGATCATACCTATCGTTCACAATAATATTAACATGTATAAAGAGCATCGATAACTAATTAGAATGGATCAAATTATAATTCTAACAGAATATAATAAATTTAAATTAATATTCAAATTTCTTAGAAATATAATTTAATTCCTTTAATAAAAAAGAATTTGTTTTAGACTTTAATTTAAGAATAACGAGATTGGTAAGAAACTTAATAGATTTAAGAATGAAGAATAAAATAATTTAAAATTTTTATATTTTTAGGCCTAAAATTTACGAGAGAAATTTATAAATATAATCGCAGGTTTGATGAGTGCAAATGAAGAATTTTTAGTCATTTTTAGGGCTCAAAACATTATAATTTTTTCTTTTTTAATTTTTAATTTATATTTGTTTAACAATGAATCCTTAATAGTGGTCATAATATCAAAATCTATATTTTGATAATTGTTCAATTGAAAATTAAATATTTTTATTGTATTTCATTTTCAATTGAACAATTTTGTATGTTTTTTAGTATCATGTTTTTTTTTCTTTTTTTTTTGGGATAGCGATAGCTGTATGAAACCCATATATTATATTTTTACAATAAATTTTTTTAATATTTATTAATTTTTTGATTATTTTTTATTTTTTTGGTATTTTTTTTTATTTTTTTTATCTGTGTTCTTATAAAGATAAATTTTATATTTGAAAATTGCTTTAAATTTTACACTAGGTTTGCGCGAATAAAAAAATTATAATAAATACAAAAACTAATAATTTGGTTTAATTACTAAAACACAAAAAAAAAGTTAATAAAATAAAAAAGTATTTAAAATAATTATTTGAAATATTTAAATTAATTTATTTTGATTAGGATTAGGTTTTGCAATTAATATAAAATTAATTACACATTTTTTCGTCTTACATTCAATTAAAATGAGTTTAATTTTTAAGTGATTTTATAGATTTGATTCTTAGAGATATTAGAAATTGTGTACGAATTTGTTAAAAGAGGTTGCTTATTAAAATTTCTAGCGTTTTTATTTCCCAATTTCATACAGTTTTCAAATTTTTTGTTGAATTAAATTTCTACTTTAATTTTAAGCAATACTAATGAAACATAGATTGTTTGCAAAAGTTATTGTTTGGTTCAGTATAACAGAATGTCGGAATATTGGAATAGCTACAAGAAAAAAAAGCTTTATAGAAAAAAAATTTCCAATTAATTTTGTAATTTAAATTTAAAGTGATCATCACCTTCAGATATCATCTTAAATATAATAATACAAAAAAAAATTGATCATCTGGAAATTAATATTAATAATTTAAAAAAAAATAATTAACTTAAATTAAGTGTATACTTAAAACAAATAATGAATAGTAATTAATAAAAAAAATATTTGGGTGTTTTTATGAAAAGAACACAAGAATTAAAATTTTAATTTAAATATTTAATTTTACAAAATATAGCTATGTACAGAAAATTAATTATGTTATAGACTAGTTATTTAATTAAAAAACAAGAATTTGTATTAAAATTTATAAAATAGAAATTTAACAAAAATAAAATTTTTGAAATATAATTGTCATGGAAATGTATTAGCTTTTATAATTATATAAATATGTTTTATACATATACATATATTTATTAATTATTATAATCTGTGTTTTTAAATTTAATTATATTTTAAGTATATTTTAGTAAATAGATGTTTTAGTAATTGGTATAAGGTTTTAGTTTCTTTTTTTTTTTTTCTTGAAATCACGTTATTAAACTTGAATTATTAAAAAAAAATGAAAAATAAAATGGCTAGAAAATATATATATTTATGTATATATATTTTAAAGTATTATAAATAGTAATTGTGTATGTAAAATATATAGAACATACAACATTCTAGTTATAGTTTGCATGTTTTTGTGTTTTTTTTTAGTTTATTAAATATATAGTAATAAAGGCGTTATTTATAGAAAAATAGAATTTTATCGATTAATAAATATTTTACGTTAATTTTACGTTTATATTTTGTGTTTTCTTCAAATTAAATATAATAGCGTTAATAGTTTATTTAAAAAATAGTTTCTATAGCATTATTAATAAATTTTATTAAATTGATATACAAAAAAGAATATTTTATTAAAATTATATGAAAATAGATTAAATAAACTTGAAATTGAAAATGAATTCAAAAAAATTACAGTTTCATATTACTTTTTATAACAATTGGAATGAAATATTAGATTAAGTAAATTCTGATCTGTTATAAACTTTATGAAATTTTTGGAATTGTCACCTACTTCAAGTAGATTTTTTGAATTTTAAAATGTTTTATTTGGATTTTTAATGCGATTTTTTTCATGTGTTCCATCTTTTAAAAATGTAATTTAATAAAATATGAAAGGAAAAATCTTAATAAGATGCTTAGTTATTCGTTACCTAGTTCATATGTTCAAATAACTTTAATAAGCTGAATCTGTTCTAAAATTAATTTACTAGTTACAAACAAAAAAAAATAATTTTTGTAAATTTTTTTTTGAGTCTTGTTAAGCTAATATAATATGAAATAGAAATTTATATACACAAATTTAAAATATAGCTAAATAATCTTTTACAGAATTTTAATTAAATTAAATAAACTGAATTAAATCATAATATTATAGATCAGAACATAATTATAATTATTTTAGTAAATTAGAAATAAGATACTTTTACTGTTTTTAATTTGTATTATTGAATTTTATATAAAAATTACAAATTCTTTTAATATCCTTTTCGAAATTTTTGAGTATACAAAGTTGTAATTAGTTTTCTATTTAGTATGAAACTATCATTCAGAATTAATTATTGAATAGAAGTATATAGTCGGAAATTATTGAATTAATATACAATTTGAGTTTTATACAAATATAAACACAAAGCTCATGATTTGAAATTACGATTTGAATGAGCTTCTTAGAAAATTTTTTCAAAAATATGTTTTGAGAGGAAGAGACTTCAAAAAGAATATAAATTATTTTATAAGAAAAAAAGAAATAAATGAAAATTTTTTATATTTTGTATATTTAAAATATTATATTAAAATTTTTTCATAAATTTATAAAGATAATCGGAAAATGAAATAACAACAAGCACATTGAAGGAGGGAAATTTTGTAAACAATTGCGTAAATGCACATCGAGATTAAAGTTTTTTAATTTTTTAATTTTTTTTCCCACAATGGCTTTGTATTGCAATTGAATAGTGGTAATTGAAGGATAATTAAACAGTTTTATATATTTTTAAAATAAATTGTTGTTAAAATTAAAATTATTTTTATCAAAATTATGAAAAAAAAAACATTTTTTTTTAAATATATTTAAAACATTTACATAAATATTTTTAATTTACACATTGATTTTTGAATGCATATGAATGAAAAAATTTTTTTTATTATTAATTTTTAAATTCTAGAGTTTCTCTTTTTAGTTTTAATTCTATTCAAGTTCTTAAGATAGCTTTTGGATTTGTGTTTTTCTATGAAGCATTTTTATTTATTTCATACATTAAATTTTAAATTTAATTTTTGTATTAAATGTACATACATTTATAAATATAATTTTTACATGTAACTAAAGTAATATTTTCTTTTTTTTTTTTTATTAAATTTTATTGATTGTTCTTCATCATTAATTTAGTATTTTGTATTTTGGTTTTTTGTTTTTATAATTTTAAATATTAATTAAAATTTTAAAATAAAAAATATTGATGTACATAAGACGCATTTTTAAAAATTGTTTATTTTTTCTTATATTTTTTTTTAATAAAAATTACATTTCTTTTATTAATATTTCTATTTTTTCGTTATTTTTTTTTTAAATCGACAATTTTTTTATTCAATTTTAATTTTCTTTTTGTATTTCAATAATAATTATTATCGTTCCCTTTAATATATTTTATAATTGGGTAATATAATAATTATTAATTATTATGTTAATTACATACATATATACGAATTTTAATTATTTCGAATAAATTTAATAAATTGTGGTACGTTTGATTTTTTTTTTATTTATTTTTGGTTCTGTTTTAAAAAATAAAAACTTACATAATTGTTTTGTTAAAATTTGTTTTTTTTTTGTTTAAATTTTTATTATTTTATTTTGCCTTGGTGGGTTTCGAACCCATTTCTTTTTCTGTTTTCTATTTCGAATATTTATGATGTGGATATTATGTGTGTATGTAATATGTATGTGACTATACTTATGTTAATATTATCAAAGAGATAATTTTGAAGTATGTATGTATGTATATGTATATGCAAAAATGTAAAACCGATTAAAAATTGTAATTTATTTTTAAGATTTTCTTATTTTTATACTTATACAAGTTTCATTTTCATTTCAAGTACAATATTTTCTAGATTATATTTTATAGTTAAATTTTTATATTTTTTTCCCATTTCATATGTATGTATGTATGTTTTTTTTATACATATTATAAGTGAACGTATAAATTCATAAATGTGTGTATGTTATATTTTTGTTTTTTTCTTTGAACATCTATTTACACTATTGAAGAACCTATAACGCATATTTTTTTTCTTTTTTTTTTATATAATATTTTATTTATAAATTTATTCTTTTAAGTGTCTATGTTATAATTTGCGTTTTCGATATTATTTTTATGCGGTACTTTTAAGTTCTGTTTTTCGTATCGGAAAATTTAAAAGTAAAAAATTTATTACTACAAGTATGTAGTTGAAGGAAAATAAGAAAAGTAGAAAGCAAAAATTAAATAGGTGATAAAATATATTGCATAACTTCAGGATATCATATGTTTTATTTCATTTTAGATTTTAATTTTTTAATTTTTTCATTTTGAAATTTTAAATGCAAATTAGTAAATTATTAAAAATTTATTACAGGACTTAATTTTACTGCCAATATATTTTTTTAATTCCGTATATTATGCTATTTTGTATTTGATATCGACTAGAATAGAAATTATTGTGAAAAATATAATTGCAATGAAAAACTTAATTGTATCTTCAAATTTAATCAAATAATAAGGCTCAATTACAGATGGTTGTATAATATCAATTGAAAGGAGAAAAGAAATAATAATTAATGAAAACATTAACAGAATTATTATGTTAAACTAATAAAAATTTACGATTAAAAAATTCATTAATCTTTTAAATGTTCATCATTCGATTCTATAAAATATTTTTACATTGTTTAATATAAAAATTATAAATCCATCAAAATTTAAAAATAACTAATTATTTAAGAAAAATTATGTAGTTTTTCCAAATTAATAATACATGGGTACATGTGTACATAACAATTTAATGTTATGGAATTATTCATAGGAAAATTGTAAAATATTGTTTGCTTTGTATTGATATATATATATATATATTGCATCTTCATTACTGAATTAAAATTCTATCTATAAAGAAACATTATGGCAGTTTTTTTTCTAATTCTCAAATGAGCTACACAAGAAATTAAAAGTTAATTTTTATATTAAAAATGAGCAAAGAAAAAATAATATTTATGGTAAATAATTATTCAATTAATAAGAGTTCATTTGATAATGCAATAAAACAAAAATTCGCTTAAATATGTTTGTTTGTCATTAAATTTAATTGGTATGGAGGAAAGCTATCTTAGAAAGGTAATTAATACCATCTTTCAATAATATTTAACTATTCTGACTGATTTTGAGAATTAAAAATGCATTTTTGAAAATAATTCCATGATATTTCTGAATTTTTCTTTGCTTATCGCACAGTAAAGTAAATTTAATTTGTTCATTTGAATTAATGAGAAATTTTTTTAAGCTTAAAAAATGATGATTTACACTTTTGCAATAGAGAATTTAATTACAATATTAAATTTCAATTGTGGTTAAATAATTTATTTAAAAAAATTAAACTAATATTTTATAAAATGAAAATTATTTTGAAAATTTTCTAATACAAAAATTTTTAATATTTTTGTTTATTGGTTAGTGTGTTGGTTTTTCTTTTTATTTTAATTCTATGTTTGTGTGAATATTTTTATGTAATATCAAATTTTACAAAAACTTAGAAAACTATGTAGTTTTTAAGATAAAATTTAAATTTTTTTGTTTTTTGTTTTATTATGTTGCTTTTTTTTTTTCTTTTGATTTGTAGTATAGATAAAAAAGAATTGGAAAGACGGTAAAATAGAAATAATTTTTCTCTTAATATTGTGAATGTATGTATGTATGTAAAATGTTCTTAAATTTAATTCATTTTATTTTTTTTTTATTTTGTTTTCTTTGCTATAATTAATAAATATTGTAATAATTAAAAAAAAAAAATTTTTTTCTTGTTTTTTTTTTCAATTATTTTCTAAATTTATGTTTTGTTTTAAATTAAAAAAAAAAGAATTAATTTTTAATGTATTTATGGCGCCAACATTTTTGATAATTCTTCATCTTGCAGACAACCTTTCAAAAACTCATCTTGTGTTAATTGACCATCATTATTTTCATCCATTTTGGCAAATATATTTTTTGCTCTTTCTTCGGCTGAATCAGCTGGACGATTCGACGAACATGCACCTAACATATCGTAAATTGCCTAAAAATAAGATAAAAAAAATTTTTATAAATTTTAAAAAATATTTTTTTTTCGTAAATAATAATTATATAACAATTTTATGTGATGAATTGAAATTGGATTTGAAAAAATCTATAAAAGTTATCTATAAGTAAACGGATTAGGTATCAAAATAATCTTTATGATTTTCGGAGAGGCCCATGACTTTTCTATCCATGTGGGTTAGGTAAACTTTTTAAAGTAAGAATTTTTTGAGGACATATGAACATTTTGTTTTCTCAATTTTTTCTGGAAATTTAGCATAAAATAAATGTATAAATAAATGTAGAATTAATTTTTTCATATTTCAACACTTTTCTATTTCGAGATACAGCGATTACTATATTTTATATCACACGACACAATAACATCGAAATGGAAACTAGTATAAATTTTGGAAAGTTTGAGTTTTTACGACGAATCACAATTATAATGCAAGGTTTGCAGATGATGCCATTACTTTTCAATGTTATTAACGAACAAACATTATTTTTACCGATACAAATATTAATATAATATATGTATCTGTTTTTATTTGAAAATATTTGGCGAGTATTTAAACGAAAATTGATTCCTAAAATTTGACTTATGCAAGGAAAACATCAGTTCATGCGCTACTCTTAAGTGTCTCCATTAACTTATATTTTTACCGATCGCATTGCATACAATAATCGAGGTTATATGATGGCATCAAATTTCACGCCCTTCATTGTAGGGAAGTATAAATAAACTACTAAGAAAGTTTTCGGCCTTTCGGTCTCCGATTTTCATGAAAATTTGTATATCAGTTTCATGATTTTACATTTTTGAGAAAATAATTTTTAAGAAAATATTCAATAGATTAAAATCTGTTTGTCGATTTTCTTGAAATTTAATATTTAAGTACTGTTTGCTACAGGAACATATGAATAACTTTTCGCGGAATTGGGATGGCGTAAAATGAGCTTCTGCAAAGAGTTAAATTTATATTTTTCCAGGTATGCTTTCTAAAATAATCTTGTGCAACCTTCGCTAAACTGGGCAATACATCGGGTATGCTCTGTATCAGATTTTTTATTCTAAAACTGATCGGAAAACGAGCGACCACCGCCATTTAATAGTAAAATGAAATAGCATGTTGAAAACAACATGTTAGTTTTGAAAATTTATATCCTTCTTGTCTGAATATTTGTAATTCTAGTTTTTTACATTTTACAATGATATTTCGCTTCTAAGTCATTTCAATTAGATCTTTCGTGATTTAAATTAGAAAAAAGTAAGAAATTTATAAATTTCTACCAAATCCCTTATAAATCCCTTACTTTGATTAAAAAAATAAACACTCTGATAAAAATGAAAATACAAAAAAGAAAAATAATAGAAAAAAAAGGTTCTCCTTTTCTAGTTATTCATTTTTATTTTTAACTTTTTTTTTTTATTTTCGTTTTTTACAAAATTTAATATGCACCTGCTGTTCATGCCTTTCAACTACTAATAAAGCTGTTATGGTTTCAGTCTAATAATTTACAAAAAAAAATCCTTTATTACTTTTATTACTACATTATTTATATATCTTGCTTTTTTCTGTACACACTATGTTTTCTATTTATTTATTTATTTTTTTTGTTCTGTGTGTGTAAAGTTAATAACATACAAAAATAAATAAAATATACACACATAAAACCTTAAAAGTTGAAAATGAAATAAAAAGTAAATGTAATGAAAAAAAATATTCTTAATTGCCTACAATCTCCTCACCTAGCTATAACAGAAAGTGAAGTTGGGTGAAACCAATGGATTGTAATGTAGCACTTTTCCCCTTACCAAATGAAAATACTGCTTTTAAAAATAATCAACGTATCATATTACTAAAATTACTTTTACTCATGTATGAATATATTTCAAAGATTGCATACATTTAGGGTGAGACGAAAAAAAATTAAAGAGCCGTTAACATAATGTTCGAATTTAAGGATTTATTGCGTGAGTTAAGAAAAATAAATGTTTTTTTAATGGCGTGGCATTTACCATTATAAAAGTTCGAAAAAGTTTGCAGTTTCGGTAATATAAAGTGCCGAAAAATTGAATTGTACAAATTTCTTGTAAAGGCGATAACTTGAGAAGAAGTGGGGGTGCAAAAAAAATTTCTTCTAACGAAATGAACTATTCATTATTGTCTAAAAGCTGCTAATATTTCAGACTCGGCCTAACATGCGAACTAAAAGAAATATCAAAATTTTGGGAAAAACGGGTTTTAGATAACGGTACATTTTAACGGCCATTTTGTTTATTTAAAGTTCAAATATGTGTTGAGGTAGAAGAACCCGCCACTACTTTTCTGCGTTTGCATAATTTAAAATATGCTTATGGTTTTGCTGTAATAAATAATTAAATGACATTTTTAGGGATTTGTTGGTTTATGATTTTTAAAGGAGGGGTGATAGGTAAAAATTTTCTTTTACGGAAATAAGTTTCTGATGAAGATCAATGTACATATGAAATTTAAGACTTTTATCTTCAAGGGCGTAAAGATTTTGTAAAAATGTCAGTGGACCGAATGAAACTAATGAGCAATTTTTTTCGAATTTTTTTCGAAAAGTGCTAAAAATGAAAAAAATTTAAGAATTGGAATGGTACAGGTATTCAAGTTCAAATTAGAACTCAACTGTTTTATATTGGTAGACTTTTAATTACGTAAACTAAAATAAAAAAAAATTATTTATTTGTTTTTTCTGTATGTGTGTGTGTGGCTTTTCTTTTTTTTTTATCTAAATTTAGAAATGTAATATTTGTAGAAGAATAAAAAATGAAGGACTAATTATATGTACACATTTTTAATACATATGTTGAATTTGAAAATTTTTGAGTTAGAAAAATTTAAGTAAAACAAGAATAAAAATAAATTAATAGTTTTTTTTTAAACTGACCAGCAGATTTATGCGTATAGTTTATTATTTTCTAGTTTACATTATTTTGTACGTTCTTAAATCTGGAGATATAATTTGAAAACATGTCCGAATTCGGTTTAATTAATTTATGTGCATACATATGTATATGTTATAAATTAATTCAAATTAATAGACCTCTATACACTCCACTATACTTTAATTAAATTTGAAATTTTAGATGAAAGCGTATTGTGAGATGGGCGATAATAAGCAATAACAACTCTGCTATTCAAGAAAATACATATTAAGTATATGTTGGCCGAATAATTGCAATTTTAACTTTGCAAAATTATAATACATCGATATAAATGCTATGTAGCAAGACTCAATGATTAATCAAGAAAAGATTATAGAAAAATATTTAACGCAAATTTCACATGTTGGCAGGTTTTTTTTTGAGGTTATATTCGTTCTAAATTTTATTTATTTTTTTATTAATTATCAATAATATTTATTATGTGCTTACATTCCTATTTATATCCTTGTAGAGAAGAAATCACTTAGATTTACATAACTGAAATACTTGCATAACAACAATTGAGTACAAATTAAGGTTTAAGAATATAAGAAAAGCGGTTTCGTAAGGCAAACGAGATAACCTTACCTTTGGTATTTTTTTTATCTTAATATCTTTATTATTGAAAGAAGGGAAACTTTTAATACAAGTAATTATGCTGAAATATTACTGAGATTTCTAACAAGAATATTTTCCGACATTAAGCATTTTTCTAGTACTTTTTCTTTTATATTATTAATTTTTATTGGTAGTAGTTCAAAATATGCCTGAGTATGAAGTTTGCGTGTTGAATTATAAATAAAGTTGGGTCAAACCAATGGTTTGTATTGTAGCACTTTTCCCTTCAACAAGTGAAAATTCTGCTTTTAAATACAGTCTATGTATACCTATCACACTATTAAAATTATTTTCATTCATATACAAAACTATTTCTAGGATTGCATATATTTAGGATGACGCATATATGCAGTCTTTGAAATAAAGCAAAAATTCATATAAAAAGGGGTTAACACAATGCTCGATTTTAAGGGTTAGTTGTGTGAGTTAAGAAAAATAATTATATTTTTTAATTTCATGGAATTTACCGTTAGCTTTTTGCGTTTATAAAAATTTCGAAAAGCTTGCGGTTTCGGAAATATAAGGTGTCAAAAATTCAAATTTTACGAATTTCAAGAGGTGATAACTTGAGAGGGGGTGGAGATGGAAAAAAATTTTCTTAATTTTTTTAGATATTAACAAAATAAACTATTTGTTAATATCTAAAAGCTCCTAAAATTTCAAGCTTCTACATTTGGAAAAAAAGGACTTTAGATAACGGTAAATTTGAACGGCCATTTTGTTTTTCTAAAGTTTAACTATAGCATACCGCGTAAGGGGAAGCAAGCCACTGCCTTTCTGCGTTTGCAAAATTTCAAAAATGCTTATGGTTTCATTGCAACAAATATTTAAAAAAGGCCATTTCTAGGGTTTTGGGGGGGTATAACTTCTAGAGGGGGGGAGATAGGTAAAAATTTTGTTCTACGGAAATAAGTTTCTAGTGAAGATCTATGTACGTATTAAATTTCAGCTTTCTATCTTCAAAGGTGTAGAAGTTTTGTAAACAAAAAAAGTGTCCACGGACGGACGGACGGACGGACAGAGTGAAACTAATAAGCACTTTTTTCAAAAAAATTTTTGGAAAAGTGCTAAAAAGGAGGTTGAGTATTTATTTAAGTAATTTACTTTGAGCTACTTGCAGTTTTTGTATATATCAGTATTAGCTTTATCAGTAATAAGAGGACAAGCATACCCTAAATTTGGTAAGAAAACTATCCTCGTGATGATTAATTTATTCTGCTTCGAAAGCAAGGACTCTCTATTAAAAATGATGAAAAGTGTTTAACAACTTTTTCTATACCGTAGTTATTTTAACAACAAGTCTGGTCTAAAATAATTATAATTTGATATTAAAGATTTTTTTCTAATCTTTCAAGCGAATCTTTTTTTAACTGAAGACTTTTCTTTTTAAATGAAGTGTACTTTGGGTAATTAATATTTTCTGTAAAGATAGGTAATAATTTTTGTAAAAAAAATTTTTTGTAAAAAATTTTTTAAGAATTTTAATTATTTCAAGAAATTTCAAGGTTCCAAAATAAAACTTTTATAATTGAAATTTTCTTAACATCTTATATAGGACGACTATATTTTTATTATTTTACATGTAGAATTTTACAAACATATCAGGGATGTCAAAATTTTAACTACATTTCCAGAAATCGAAAACTCGTTTGAGTGTAATTCAATAATTTTTTTGCCGTTCTTCACTTCATTGCGAAAAAAAATCAAATTATACTTACAAGACAATCTAAAAACGGAAAAGCAAACACTATCAAACTTTTGGCAATAGTTTCTTTACCGCTAAGAGCGGCTACTATTGAAATTGGGCATCAATTCCAAAAACGGGTTCCAGTTTGAACCTTAATCGACAACTCAAAAAGATTGTTTTAAATAAGTGTTTCAAAAAATAAGAAGTCACCTGCTTGAAATTTGGCGGTCCGACCATAGCCTAGATATATTTAGAAATTTATGTAATGTAAGCTAGCTAAGTCCATCCTAAAAGCTAAGCATAAGCATTTAAAAAACTAATTGAGGTAATTTTACGAAATTTGGTAAAAAAGTGAAGAATTGCAGTTTATGACGCACGCTTCAAAAATTTTGTTCAATTGTATACATACATATGTAATCGACAGCAAACAAATAGAAATAACTAAATTTGTTCTTTTATACACTTCACAAGTACACCCCCTGTTAAGCTTTCTCATTGCCAAAAATTAAGAATACAAAATTTTCTTTTAAATCATATTCTGAAATCATTCATCAAGCTGTTTATATTTAAGGTTATATTAGTACTAAATTGTGTACGTACTTAAATTTTGAAAAAAATTAAATATACGGTCAAGTCGCTATTTGGCCTTTCATTGTTTTTTATAAATTGCACGTTTATACATTAAACAGTTTTGTGTGCCATGTCCTTTGTTTCACTTCTCATTTGATATTTTGGTATTATGCAAAAAAAAAAATAAAATTATTATATAAGACAAACTTTTTTAATTCTTTTTAAACTTTTTATTTTTTAATCTTTTTTTTTTTGGAGGGATTTAATAGCACGAAATCCTATAGGCTTTATCAATTTTGTTATTTTATAAAAATTGAATTAACATTTTTCTCTTTTACCAAAGTCAAAAAGGAAAGGCAATATTCGCGCATAAATACCACACAAACAAACAAGGTATAAAATTAAGGGAAAACAAGAAAAAATAGAGTTGACCGTGTCAACTTTGTGATACCCGTACGAATTGTTATCCTATATTCGAATATGTCATACCTGCCTATGGAACAGACTATCACTTTAAGTTGCCGTATTACCATATTAATATATGCAAAATTTCAGTACTGTGTTTTCAATATTTTCTTTATGTTGTATGACAGGTAGCAGAAGGAGCCAAGCAATTTCAACGACTTTTATCAAACACATTAGCCCTACTGATATATTTGCTTGTGTGAAATTTCAATATCACACCTTTTATAGTTTCCAAAATATAGCCAAATAATTTTTGAAATTGTATGGCAGCTACCCGAACCAGTACTCTGATCATGTCCAATTTAAATAATAGGGTTCTGGCACTTATAAATCATTTGTGAAAATTTGATGAACTTCAGCTCAATTATTTTTTGAATTATCGCTGGAACAGACGGACAGACCGACAAAGCTGAATTGACTGAGAATTCGACGCTGATCAAAAACATACACTTAAGTCTATATCTCAGACCGTTATTTCTTAGTGTTACAAATGATAACGCAAATTTAGTATACCCTTCAAACATGCGTTCGTACGGCCATAAAAATTGACGAGGAATAGGATTTTTTCTATTTTATTGTAAAATTATAAGATAGAAAAAATTAATAAATCACACGAATTCATTAACATTCAAGGACGAATTAAGCATAATTACATATATATATATATAATATATAGATCGTGTGGTTTTATAAATTTTCGAATTACATTTGTTCTTAATTTATTTTTTTTAGTTTTAGTCAAACCTGTTTAACTTTTTAGCTATAATTGAAAATTAATGTTTTAAATCAATTCCATTGAACTTAACTCCAATTTCCATTCTACGAGTATAAATGAAATTTAATTACATCCTTATACTTAAAAATCAGGTGGAACACTTATACAAGGAAAAAAAATAAATTGAAAAGATTCTGAGAAAAGCTACAGTTTATGATTAAGAAATCAAGAAAACCATAAGAATAAAAAAAAAAACAAATAAATCTTCGAGAAACATAAAAATCCAATTTTTAAAAACAAAAAAAAGCATAGAAAAGCAATCAGGAAACTTTTCCAAAAATTTATTTTAAAGTTTATTTAAGGTTATTTTTGAATCTATTGAAATTTCTTGTCAAATATTTAAAGAAAAATTTCAACTTTTTTATAACTAAGTTGAACACATAAACAAAGAAAACTTGTTAACATGTTTATGGAAAAGTTAAAAACACAAAAAAAATTTTTTCTTTTTAGTTTCTTCACTTATATTGTTGGAACATAAAATTAAATTTAAAAATTTGTTATAAGTAAGTTGACTATGAAACTAATTTGGTAATTAAATTAAAAAATTCTTTGGTACATAATTTTTTAATTTGAAATTCTTATTCTATGAAATTGGAATGGAAGGGAAGTGTTGTAATTGAAAAATTTTTTGTAAATGACAGTGAATTTTTAAATAACTTTAAAAGATTAATCAACTGGAACTGAGAGAGATTATAAATTTTCTTCTGAATTCATAATCTCAAACAGAATGAAATTTTAGAAATTTTTATGAAATTTAGATTGTACTTAATCCAATGAATTTCTTTGGCAGTTTTTTATAAAACACAACAGCTTGTTATAAACATGACAGTAAATGAATGTCATTAATGATATTATTATCAAATTTTTTTTTTGAATATTAAAAAAAGAATTACAAACCTGAACTATTTTTGTCATTTCTTGAATATCTATAACGCCATTACCATCAACGTCATACATTCTAAAAGCCCATTTTAATTTTTCTTCTGGAGTTCCACTTGACGTCACATCAATAGCCAAAAGGAATTCCTGTAATATAAAATAAAAGAATAATTTAGTACAAATTTATTTAATAAAAATATTTATAAAAAATTTTTTAGTTTGAAAAGTCTACAATATAAAATTTCAAATATGTAGAATTGTGGAGTTTTTCAAGCCCTAAAAGGTATAATGGTACCAAATCGTGAAGGCTGCAAAAGAAATGTAATTCGACTATGATCTGGATCGTTGATATAGCATACGGATAGATTCAGGACAAACAGTCTATATAGTTGATGTTTTGTATTCCTGCCTCAAGTACATACAATTAAGTTGTGTTTAGAAGCATCACCTACAGGAAATTAAGAATATGCATTCACGAGATGGACTGGTAAATTTATTAGCGCTACGGGATAACAAAGTGGATTGCAAATTATTGTGGAATAGCCTTGCTGTTTTGAACGAGTTGGAAATTCCACGGAGGTTAACACACATTTGACTGCCAGGTCGCAACAGAGTTAGTGTTAATTGTCTATATGACTAACATCTAGGTAAAGATAAGAGATTGAATGGAGTCGGAATGCAACCAATACTGGTTTGCTTACTAGTCAAATTGTTCTTACTTCTATACTCTATATTACGCAAGGGAAGGAACAGTCGTTTATTAACGAACTTTCTGATGGAACACGGTCTAGTGAACAAATACTTCCATGCGCTGAGGAAATCACAGACTACTTTCCGTGAATTCTTTTGCGAACATTTGGACCTTTCGGATGTTGTGTCCGCTTATTGAACGATATTTACTGGTTGACGAAACGTGCATTACAGAGAATTAGTTTTCATGGGGATTAAAAATTAAAAATATTATATTATTTTAATCAAATTTTTTATTTATTAAATCAAAGGCTCATATAAAAGAAACCCAGTTTTTCTTAAATATTACATAAGACTACAAACATTCTATTTTCTAGATATTTATCTTTAATAGAAATTTTTGTTTGCGTAATATTCTTATAGAAACTATATTTTTATTTTATTCATATTTTATTTAATTTTCTTAACAATTTTATTCTCATTGTGAATTTATTAAATTTTATACAATAAAATTATGATTTTATTAAATTTTTTTGGACTATTTGAATTTAATAATGAAGAGTTTTTATATTTATAGAGAACATATGTATTATGTAATCTATACTAGCCATTACATACACAAAAATACATAATATTATTATATTATGTGCCTATGTATATACGCACAATTCCCATTTAGATAATTTCAATTAAATACATTATGCATATATAGAATAAATTTAATGATTACTGATTTTTGTAACTCTGATGCGAAACGAAGCAAACAAGCATTCAAGAAATGGAAGAAGAGAAAATAAAAGTAATAAATACTTATACATATATATATATACGAGTTTCCTGTACAACTTCCGGATCATCATCAAACTGGTATTATCATTATAATCATTTAAATCATCTTCAATATGAAAGAAAATTCAAATAATCATAAAGAAAAAAAAAGGAGAAAATAAAAAAGGATTCTTCTAAAGAAAAAATGGTGGAAATGAAATAAAATTCATTTCAATTTCTGATGCTTATATAAAAAAAAAAAAAAAGAAAAAAATGGAATTTTAATTTGCAAATATTTGAATAACAAATTTTCTTTCATTTTCACTCTGAATGTTATGGTACATTTAATATAAAAATAAGCAAAAATTTTTCAGTTAAGAAAAATAATATTGAATTTTTGCTGCCTTATTTTGGATTTTACTTTTATCTTTATATAATAATAAAAAAAAGGTAAAAATTTTCGATAAGTATATATAAGTATGTATAAATATTCGTATATGTATATATTAAATAAACGTTTATACACCTACATATACCTGAAAAAAAAATTACGTTTATTATTCGGTTTTAATATTCTTGAATTTTTTTAGTTAAAATATTTTGATTTAATAAAGCTCCAATGAAATAATTCCTAAAAATATGCAAATATTATTTTTATACTTTCATTGAAATAGTGAGAAAGTATAATTATGCAAATATTCAAATGAGTTTTAAGAGAATTTATAAAAATGTCATTTAGATATATTTTAAATTTGTATTAGTTGTGTTGTAATATTGACATTGACATTGACATTGACATTGAAATTTTAAAAGAACAATGACAACTATAGATGTATGTGAAAATTTATGAAAAAAATTAGTTGATTATTAATTCTCAAAGAAATCTATTGAATATGTAAAATCCAACACTTCAGGCAAGGGTTCGATTTCTGTGGCTAGGTTTCAGAACAAAAGTAAACTAGTTTTATCTGTAACGAATAAAATCCAAATAGTATGTTAAATTAGACGATCTGAAATTACCTGTAATCAAAAGCAAATTTGGCAATTTAATGACAATATTAAAATGAGAAAAACAAATTTGACATTAGTATAGAGACTTGTTAATATAAAATGAAAATAAAATCTAAAATACAAGTGATTTGTACTTGTATAATTAACAAACACCAATAATGGACTTGTTTATTTTGTATAGGCAATATGGATCGAAATTTTTCGTAATTAATTGTAAAATTTATATTTTAGGCACAATGAAAAAACATATGAAAAAACATTTATACAAAATATTATGTATAACACAAAAATTTAGTTAAAAAGCAAAAACTAATTTTATATTTAATCTTTAAATTTTGTTTTGGAAGATTATTATGTGTACTTTTTGTGGATTCTGGGGGATTTAGATGATAAAAGTCTTTAATTTTTTTTGTTTTTATTTTAATACCATTTTCAAACACGTATAATATGGATTTCTTCTTTATACGGAACTTATTTTTATTTTTTATTATATCCAAAGCTCTAAAGTGCACTACCGGCGCAAATAATTTTTGATGAATACTATTAGAACGAGCCTGTTATTTCATTGTAAAGCGGTTTGAATTTAATATTATTTGCATTTTATTCACTGAATAGGAATAATTTGCTTTTTTTTTTTATTTTAGGCACAGTATAAATTTGTATATATGTATATGCATATGTATGGAAATTTTATTTGCAAAATATCAAAGATTACAATATAGGATTCTTTAGAGGTAAAATATGAATGTATAGAATCAGTATGAAATTGTGTACATATAGATTTTGACTATTGATTTTCATTTGAGTTTTTAGTTTTTGTAGAATTTCCTTTTTTTTTTCATTTACATACATGCTCGTAATTATTTACATATGAACTCATATACTCATGTAGATATATTGCAAATGAATGAATGAAAAAACCAAAAATGAAAATTCATGAATTTCATTTTAAAGGATGAGTAAGTATAATATAAAAGTTAATGAATTTTAATTAAAAATAAAATAAAATAAAATAATTTAAAAACAAAACGAAGTGATTAATCATTATAGGAGCATATAAGCATTGAATTTCAATTTATTTTTATTTATTAAAAAAAACTAAACTAGAAAAAAAAAGATGAAGTAATTTAATATCATACTGATTTTATGGCTGATGATTAAATATAATTAAATATTTTTTTTAGATATTATCAAGTTTTTTGTTTTACATTGATTAATGTGTTTATTTTTATTGAATCTTTTTAATTACAAAAAAATACCCAAATCGAATTCAATAAAATTTTATAAATTTTCCATTATCGTACAATTTGTTTTGGCTAAAATTAATATCTAATGGTCACATTACATATTATAAGGAAGGTTATGAATGGTACTAAATTTCGCATAATTTGACTTTTCGATGGAAGCGTTCGAAGGAGCCTAAATAAACTATTGGCGAGATGTCGATTTTGGCGTGCATCTCAAGTTTAGCTTAGCAAGAATAGATTTTATTGAAAATTTTTATATGAGTTTACTTTGGATTTGGCAGGGATTCATTATACGAGTATTTCGGATTACTGATTAAATGTCAGATGTGGGCTCAGATTCTGGCGTTCTGGGCATTTTTAAGAAAATATTCTACAGATTTTCTTGAAATTTCATATATAACCTTCGTTTGACAGTATGCAAACTCACATTTTTGCTGTGCGCATTATGATAACATCAATAATATTTTCTAAATTAATTTTACGCATTATATTAGTGTATTTAAATAAAATAATGTAAAAATTAAATATGCATGTATAATTAAGCATATTCAAAAAGCATATTCAAAAAATTAAACTAAGCAGTAATATATTGAGTAAGGGGAGGAAATTGTTATCCGAGATGCGTTTAAATATTGTATACTCTTTATAACAATTGCTATTTAAATTAAATTTTCAAAATTAATATCATCCAATATCAGTGGGATATTTTCAGTATGATGAAATAATGCATTACATATATAATATATATACTAAATTAATTATTAATTGTTTTATTAAATTAAAATCTAGGGTTCGTTTTAAATTAATTTAATAGAAAAAAAAACATAAAGAACCCCTGTAGATATGCAATTTGCGACTCATCATGCCAATATGAAATTTTAATCGAAATATTTATGTATTGGATAATTTTTGCTTAAATTTACATTAATTATCAATATGTAAATGTATGTATAAATAATATTAATGTTTTATAGTTTTTGTGTGATTTTTTTAATTATATTGAATTTATGTTATAGTAGAGAGTATGAAGGTTTGAAATAACATGCTTTCTTTCAACAACGACTTATCAACACTTTTAACCGGAAGTTCAATCAACTTTCCAGACCTTTTATATATTCCTCGATAAAATGCGGAAACAATTATGTAATTAATTTGATTAATGCCCCGTCATTAACCTGGGGATTTAGTTAAAAATGTTCCCATCCCAGAGTGCCAGTATCTTTAGTTATATATAAAATGATTTGAAAAATGTAAAATCTTTCAACTTTGCATCTTTTAACAATAATTTGTTTTTAATTTTACTCTGTATGAAAGAAATAAAATTTATATGCAATAAGATAAATTTTTGTTTTAAAATTTTATAAATGAAAAGTTATTTTAAAAATGTACGCTTTGTTCTTTTAAAAGAAAGTGACATAAGGAAAACTTTCG